AAATCCAACCAACCAACCCACCGGCTCCTCACCGTCTCCACCTCTGCCTTTGACTGACACCTCATTCTGTCAATCGGAACCGCCCACCATGCGATTGGTCGGATGGCGTTTCGGGGGGCGGTGCATGCAGAGAAGCCAACAGAGCAGTAAGCGCAGCAGCCGGAGTGTTGAAGATGACAAGGAGGGCCACCTGGTGTGCCGGATCGGCGACTGGCTCCAGGAGCGATGTACAGCCACCTTTCGTAAACTTTACCTCTACTTCCTACCCCTTGCTAGACGGGCCGCTCCCGCGTGGAGGGCCCTGTGCGCGTGCTGCCCTAGGGGGGCCACCAGTAATTGCCTGAATGGCTCAGACGCTAGCAACTGCTGTTTAAGAGTGTAGCAGGGAGAGAGAAACCTTAATTTGTGTTTGAGAACTTGAATGCTGTGAACTTGCAGGAGCCGCCAGCCTCCCGCCCTCCGGACGCTCACGCCCAGCCTCTTCTCTCTTGTAGATGAGATCGTGGGGAACCTGGGCGAAGGCACCTTTGGCAAGGTGGTGGAGTGCCTGGACCACGCCAGGTGAGCGAGCCGGCCAGCGCGCCGGCTGCAGTGCGGTCCTTCTGGGAAGCGCCAGCGGGAGGCTCTCAGTGGAGACGGCTGTCGGAGCTCTCCCTCTCGGGAGCGTAGCATAGCGCCTGTGCACCCTGCCAGGCCCGGGCTCGCGTGGGCTCCTGAAATATGGAGGAAACCAAGGGGTTCCGCAGGCCTGGGGCCTCCGCACCCTCCACGCCGGCCCACACCTCTGCCCAGCTCCCCTTCGCCAGCCCAGGCCCCGGCCCTCTGTGCCCAGGAGCCGATTGCTGGGAGCTCCTCAGGGTCTTGGCTGGGCAGGGTTGGGCGCGCTGCTAGCCCCAGCCTGCCCGAGGCCGAGCAGGTCCAGCCCAGAAGCCTTCGGCCATTCCACTGCCGCCTTCCAGTCCCAGGGCTTGAACTCATGGTCTGGGCACTTGTCCCTGAGCTCTTTTGCTCCAGGCTGGTGTTGTGCCACTTGAGCCACAGCTCCACTTCCATCTTTGTGTGTGTGGTTCATTGGACATAAGAGTCTCACAGACATTTCTGCCTTGGCTGCTTAGAGCCACCATCCTCAGATCTCAGCCTCCCCAGTAGCTAGGATTCCAGGCGTGCGCCGCTGGTGCCTGGTTCTGTGTGATCCCTTCTGAGTGCGCGGAGAGGCTGCGCACTGTGCCCACGCCCACCCCTCCCGAGTCCTGGCTCCCCGTGTTCAGCCTCTCTGTGCCCACGCCCGCCCCTCCCGAGTCCTGGCTCCCCGTGTTCAGCCTCTCGTTGCGGTAGCTCTGCAGCTCTGTCGCTGGGCGTCCTGTGCGCCCCTGCTTGCCCTCAGCCCTCTCGAGCTTCCTGCCTGGCCTCAGTGGCAGAGCCGGCCCGCCAGTGCGGCTGGCACAGCCCATTCACTGATAGACTTCCCAGACGGACGGACACTTCCTCCAGGCTCCCGCCTAAGCCCCACTCCTCAGGTCCCCAGTGGCAGGGAGGGGTGGATCTGGCAGCGGCCACAGAGCAGCCACACGATCCCAGCTGAGCCCCCAGAGCCGCTCCCGGGCAGACACAGGGTCAGCAAAGTGGGGGACGTGCGCGGGAGGCCCTTGTCCGGAGGAGGTTAGAGTAGAGGCTCCCCAGAAGCCTGTGGCTGCCCTGAGAACGGGGCAGGGGAGGGTGCCATCTCCCCACGCCCTGCCGGCGTCTGGACGAGCGCTGTGGGAAGGTGGGCCTGCGGGCGAGCTTCAAGCGTGCCCTTTACGATTCTGCGTGCAGGCTGCTGGCATGGGGTACAGAGTTACTGGGCCCCAATAATCTTAACTGGAGGCTGTGGTGCGGGGGGGGGGGGGGGGTGTAGCCTGGCCTCCGTGAGCACCCCCTGCTGAGGCCTTGCCCCAGGGGCCGCAGCTGCCGCAGCGGGTTTGTGCGGGGCGTGTGCTCGGTGCCAGCGCCACACTCCGCCAGCGCTGGAAGTTGCAAGCAGCCCAGAACACAAGGCGGCCAAGGCTTGCGTTGCAGGGTTTACGGGGGGACTGCACATAGGTGGCCTGGGACGTGGTGCAGGCAGGAGTTTGGGGGGACCCATGCGGCTGCTAACGGGTGTTCCCTTCTGCCCCAGAGGGAAGTCCCAGGTCGCCCTGAAGATCATCCGCAATGTGGGCAAGTACCGCGAGGCCGCGCGCCTGGAGATCAACGTGCTCAAGAAGATCAAGGAGAAGGACAAGGAGAACAAGTTGTGAGTGTGGCCTCCGGCCGGGAGGCTGGCGGAGCAGCTCCGCACCCCTGCGCCCTGCGCCCCGCGCCGCCCTGCCCTGGGCCTTGTGACCCGCGCCCGGTCCGCGATGCTGGGTCGGCGGCCGGGTGTCTGCGTGGGAGCCCTCAGTGGGCGCCCGGTTCTCTTCAGAGCACACTCGGGGACGGCAGCTGGGGAGCCCCGCACAGAGCCTGAGTCCCCCGTGCTCTCCTAGCCTGTGCGTCCTCATGTCGGACTGGTTCAACTTCCACGGCCACATGTGCATCGCCTTCGAGCTCCTGGGCAAGAACACCTTCGAGTTCCTGAAGGAGAACAACTTCCAGCCCTACCCGCTGCCCCACGTGCGCCACATGGCCTACCAGCTGTGCCACGCCCTGCGCTGTGAGTGCGGGCCGCAAGCCGGGGCGGGGTCCTTCAGGTCCTGCTGGGAACTGGCCAGCGGCCATCCCGCCTCCTTCCCCGAGGGAGGAGGTAGAAGGCGACTGCACAGTGCGCCTGTCCGGACAGGGGGAGGGGAGGGGAGGTGGCGGATCGGGCGGCCAGCAGGGCGGCTCAGCGACGGTCTGGTGGGCCTGGCTGAGTCCTGAGCTCGGTGCCACCTTTGCCAGGCCGACAAGGGGGATTGGCGGTCGCAGCCAAGGATGCCAAATGACCGCCACAGCTCCCCTGCCCGCGGGACGCTCCGTGCTTGGTGCAGGCCTTGCGGCTGTCCGTCAGCCTCTCGGCAGGCCACCGCGGTCTCCACGCCATGGGCCTTGCCAAGGCGGTGCTGGGGGCCAGGATAAGAGTGGGCGGGATACCCTGGGAAGAGGGGACCCAGGTCTCAGTGCCCGCCCTCCGCACCCCTCTGCAGTTCTGCACGAGAACCAGCTGACACACACGGACCTGAAGCCGGAGAACATCCTGTTTGTGAACTCAGAGTTTGAAACGCTCTACAACGAGCACAAGGTGCGGCGCAGGGGCAGGTGGGAGGGGCGTGGCGCCGGTGGCAGGGGGCGTGGCGCCGGTGGCAGGGGGCGTGGCGCCGGTGGCAGGGGCGTGGCACTGACTGGCTGTCACCGCAGAGCTGCGAGGAGAAGTCTGTGAAGAACACCAGCATCCGCGTGGCCGACTTTGGCAGTGCCACCTTTGACCATGAGCACCACACCACCATTGTAGCCACCCGCCACTACCGGCCACCCGAGGTGATCCTTGGTGAGTGACAGGATGGCGTGCCTGGGCGTCTGCAGCCCGCGCCGGGCAGCACCACGTCACCAGGCACAGGCGGCTGCCCTGCCCTTGCGGTCGGGTCCGCCTCGGCCAGAGCCCTGCCAGCCGCGCCGCACCCAGGCCCCGGGGCCCGCTAGCCACGCCCCGTGTCCACTTGCAGAGCTGGGGTGGTCGCAGCCCTGTGACGTGTGGAGCATCGGCTGCATCCTCTTCGAGTACTACCGCGGCTTCACGCTCTTCCAGGTGCGTCCCCCGGCGGGGAGGGGCGGGGGGGAGGGGGCCGGAGGCTGAAGGCCAGACGCTGGGGTTGGAGGACTGGGCAAGGCCGGGAGATGGGCAGGCAGACCCCTCACCCCTGCGCGCTGTCTCCACTGCAGACCCACGAGAACCGCGAGCACCTGGTGATGATGGAGAAGATCCTGGGGCCCATCCCCTCGCACATGATCCACCGCACCAGGTATCTAGGCTGCAGGGAGGGGGAGCCCTTGCCGCACACCGTGGTGGTCTCAGGGGCTCCTGCCCAAGCCCCCCCTGACCCATGCGGCACTTGCTGGCAGGAAGCAGAAGTACTTCTACAAGGGCGGCCTGGTGTGGGACGAGGACAGCTCGGACGGGCGCTACGTGAAGGAGAACTGCAAGCCGCTCAAGGTCAGTGTTGGCTGTGGACACAGAGGGGCCACAGGGAGAGCCCCCCCTCCTCCCTCCTGTAAAGAGGAACCGGGCAGGACTGAGGGGAGACCGGGCGCCCAGACACACAGGCTTCAGGGTTGCTCTGCTCAGCCGTGGGCCTGCACGGACCGAGGATCTGCTGCCCGTGTGCTGAGGTGCTGCCTTTGCCTGCAGAGCTACATGCTGCAGGACTCCCCGGAACACGTGCTGCTGTTCGACCTCATGCGGCGCATGCTCGAGTTCGACCCTGCCCAGCGCATCACCCTGGCCGAGGCCCTGCTGCACCCCTTCTTCGCCGGCCTGACCCCCGAGGAGCGATCCTTACACAGTAGCCGCAACCCCAGCAGATGACAGGCGCGGGCCGGTGCTGACACGGAGCGGGACTGCGGCCTTCCTCCAGCCTCCCCCTAGGTCTCGGCTGGTGCTGCAATGGGCAGCGGCCACCGCAGGACACCACGGCGGGACAGCGCGGGCTGAGGGGGCCCGTGGGGGCGGGGCCAGCGGCCAGAAAGCACAGATTTGACCCCAGCTATTTATATGTTGTAAAGTTATAATAAAGTGTTTCTTACTGTTTGTAACTTTGGCACATGCATCCATCTCAAGGCTCGCGGGGGGCCCCCCCCCCCCATAAAGACACATAGCAGCTCAGCCTGTGGAAACCCAAGTGAGCCTGTGGGCGGGGCAGCTTGGCTAAGGAGCGGGTGGCGCTGGCCCCGGGACTGGCCGGCGGAATCTACCTTACGCGCCCCACCAGCCGCCGTCTATGGAGCGGGGCTTGGGCCAGGGAGTCTGGACACCGCGGCCTACTGAGCACACACACACACACAGGTCCTGATCACAGCTTTATTGGGGTGCTAGTTATGGTTCCCCAAGAGCTACAGGGCTTCACCACCTGATCTGGACCCCAGGGGGCCTTCTCCAGGCAGGGCAAATATGGGCACAAATCCCCGCAGCTATGCACTGACAGCAGGTTCCAGTTCTGGTTTTTTCCCTGGCCCCAGTGTGGCAGGCAGTGCCCAGGGGCATGTGCCCCGCTTCTCCCCCCGCCGCCCCCACGCTGGGGCCGTGAGGCGCTGATTCTAAACAGAGGCCCTCCCTCGCTGACACCCTCGGGTGGAGACCAGCCCTTGCCCCACCAACTCCTGCAAGTCCAGGGTGCCAGTCCACCCCCGTGCCTGCACCCCTCAAGAAGCCGGCCTGTCCTTCATGGGCACAGCACAAGGACACCTGAGTCCTGAATAAGGCTTTAAGCACAAGCCCCAGGTCCTTTGCAGGGTGGGGCCGGAACAGCTGGCGCTTCCGGCACAGCTGGGTGGGCCGGGGCCCCTCGGTGACCCCACAGGCAAGCTGGGTGGAGCCAGCCACCTTTTGGCATCTGCCTGATGACCGAAGTTCAGATGCTGGTGAGAACTGGAGCAGCCCGGGTGACGGCAGCGCGGATGGGCGGGAGTGGGGTGCGACCACAGGGGCAGTGGGCAAAAGCACCAGGCTCCCCTGGGCCCCCCCAAGACTGCTATATAAAAGCTGCACCCCGAGCATCTGGGCCCAGCCCAGCGGAAGCTGCAGGCAAGCGCACACTGGCTCGACCACAGAGTTGATGTCACCTGCTGCAGTCCTCTCTCCTGCCCCAGCGCCAGCTGCCCGCGCGGCCTCTGATGGAATGCAAAGACGAGAATGCCAGTCCTGCAGAGGCGAGGCCAAGCGCCAGTCCAGCGATGGAGGGGCCAGGGCAGTGCCCTCTGGTGGCCAGTCAAGTGTCTGGGGTTCAAGGAGGGGTGGGGGGAGGGGGACACAGAGTCACCACTGAGGCGTGGGCCATGTCACCAGGCCCCAAAGGCGCGAGCTGGAGCCGGGGCTGTAAACCTGAAACAGTCTGAGCTGCCTGTTCTGTAAACAAAGCCCCGCAAGTGCGGGCACAGAGCACGGTGGGGCCCGGGGCCTAGGCCGAGTGTAGCGGGATGACGAACTTGCAGCCGAAGGGCGAGTGGTAGCTGATGCCCGCCTCCTGGAACACCTGCTGCGGGATGCCGATGTCGCACAGGTAGACGCGGCCGGCGCGCTCCCCCAGCGGCAGCGGCAGCCCCAGCGCCAGGGACCACTTGGCGTCGATGCCCTGCTCCAGCTCGTGCACCGGCGGGTCAATGCTCAGCACCGGAGCCCGGTTCTGGTTGGCCCAGGCCACAGCCGCCTTGTACCAGGGCTGGTCCCGCAGGAAGGCGTTCTCGGGGCAGTCCAGGCAGTTGATGACCAGGTCCACGGGGCTGGTGGGCAGATCTGGGGGTGCAGAGAGAGCATGGGAAAGGAGCCAGAACAGAGCTCCACCAGGGCGGAGCCAGTGGTCCGAGCAGGGGAGCGGGGGGAAGAAGGGGGTCACTCCATGGCCCCTGACTCAGTGTCTTGGGGCCCTGTGCTCCCAGCACACGGAAGATGAGATCAGCCTCTCCTGACTCCCAAGGGCCTCTCCCCTTCTCAAGCCCAGACCTGTGACCCACAAACACCGTGAACGCCCCATCTCCTGACCCCTCCCAGTGTAAGCACCACAGAAAGCCAAGCCACAACTGAACCTAGCGCAGCAGCAGCCGTCCCAGAGGCAGGGAAAGGTGAGGCTCAGGGAGGAGGCGGCCAAGGGACTTGCAAGCACATTTGCTTTCCTGCCTGTCACCACTGGGGGCGCTGCTGGACAGGAAGCATGGCCTGCACCCAGGCCTCCCGAAGGGGCGCCAGCCCCGGCGCTCACCTTTGAGGCTGGACACCTGCTGGCCTTGGGTCTTGCTGAAGAGGGACAGCTCGTTGGTGATGGACTCCAGCATCTTGACGAAGTTGGGCAGGAAGAGGATGACCTGCACGTCGTGGTTGGCGAGGTGCCGCCCGCAGCTGATGCCCTGAGCGCCCTTCACATGCGGCCCACACAGCACGGCCACCGCCGGCCTCTGGTGCACATTCTTAGGATTCAACCTGGAGGGGGGACAGAGGCCATGACTGGCTGGGCACTGGAGGCTCAGATCTGAGGTCAAGGTTCAAAGCCAGCCTGGGCAGAAAAGTCCATGAGACATTTTTTTTTCCTGTGTCAGTCCTGAGCTTTTTTGCTCAAGACAAATGCTTGACCACTTGAGCCACAGCACCACTTCCAGCTTTTTTGAGTAGTTTACTAGACATAAGAGTCAGGCTGGGAAGGTGGTTCAGTGGTAGAGCACTTGCCTTGCATGCATGAAGCCCTGAGTTCAATTCCTCAGCAACACATAAGCAAAAAGAAAAAAAAAGCCGGAAGTGGCGCTGTGACTCAAGTGGTAGAGCGCTAGCTTTGAGGTGAGCTGAGGGACAGCGCCCAGGCCCAGAGTTCAGGCCCCACGACCAGACAAAGTCTCAGGGACTTTCCTGCCCATCTGGCTTCAAACCATGATCCTCAGATCTCAGCCTCCTGAGTAAACTAGATAATAGGCATGAGCCACCAGCGCCCAGCTGCATGAGACTATTATCTCCAATAAATCAGCAAAAAGCCAGAAGTAGAGCTATACAAGTTGTAGAACACCAGCCCTTAGCAGAAAAATGCAGGGACAGTGCCCAGATACTGAGTTCAAGCTCCAGAATAGGCAGCAGAAAGAGTGAAAAGAAAATAAAGCAGGGGCTGGGAAGGTGGCTCAGTGGTAGAGCGCTTGCCTTGCATGCATGAGGCCCTGGGTTCGATTCCTCAGCACCACATAAGAAAAAAGCCGGAAGTGGCGCTGTGGCTCAAGTGGTAGAGTGCTAGCCTTGAGCTGAAGAGCTGAGGGACAGCCCCAGGCCCAGAGTTCAGGGCCCACGACCGGACCCAAAAAAAAAGAAAAGAAAGCAGCAGGCGCCTGTGCTTCTCCCAGGACACTCAGCTGCGCACTGGAACTGGGTTGTAGGAGGCCTCGGGCCGCAACTCCCCATCCACTCAAGGCCGCTTCCGAGCCAGCGCTCCGGGGACCGCAGCAGGGACTGTGTGAAGGCCACGGGAAAAGCTGCCCGGCCTGCGGCACGCTCCAAGCCGCAAGATTCGCACTGGGTTCCATTCACGCGGTGAGGAGCCCGTGGCGAGCTGCGGCACGCGCACGGGAGGGCTCACCTGTTGGGGCCCCCGAGGAGGGTGAGCGCCATCTGGCTGGCGCACACGCCGGTCATCTCCAGCCTCCGCTCCAGCGTCAGCCCGTGCTTCTCAGCCACTGATAGCAGCTTCTTGTGCAGCTCGTACGAGACGCTGGGCACCACCAGGCCCGAGTCTGTGGCGAGAGAGCAGCAAGGCATGGGCGCGTGGCCATGTACACTGCACCCCAACACCACCACCCTCGCCGCCGGCCCTCATGAAGGCGCTGCCCCACCCGTCCCTCCACACCTCAGCCTGAGCGTGGCTGGGATGGCAGGCGGAGCCGCTGGCGCCCGGCTGGCAGAATCACCATGTGAGCATGAGCGACTGCAGCGGCCGCTGTGGCGGGTGGCGCCCGGCCGGGCACCGGCTCTGTTTAGGGCAGTGCATGGGGCACGAGGGCTCCTCACACTTTCCAAACCACCAATCACGGCCGGCTGCATACTGAGCTGCTGCTGCTGCACGTTGTGCGGCAGCAACTGATATCGGCCGACCCTGCGACCTGCCCCAGCCACCGACACCCCCAGACCCACACACATGCCCACATACACCCCCAGAAGCACGCCCAGAGTGCTTCCTAGATGTGCACATTCATCCCCAGATCCACCCGAACTCTCTCTCTCTGGGCCAGTACGGGGCTTGGATCGAGGGCTTTGCCTGGCTCAGCCTGCTTGCTCTGCTGGCGCTCTACCCCTGGAGCCATGCCGCCAGTCTAGCTTTTTTGTTGCTTCATTGGAAATGGAGTCTCACCTTCCTGTAGCGCTTAAGGTTGAGCCCACAGCTTGATGCACACTAGCCAAGCATGCCACCACCACGCCACGCTGCCGCACCACCATGCAGGCCACCACCCACGCCACACGCCAGTCGCGCGTCACACAGACGCAGCAGCACCGCCCCGCCCCGAGCTGTCCCTAAGCACTGCGTTTGGAATTTGAAGTAATGAGTGGAAAGTCTTTGGAAGCTTCCCGCCCCCCTGTGTTCTCTGGGCCCCTCACTGAGTGCACAGCGCTCACACTGAGGACACACACGTGTGCACACGCACATCTGTCCCCACAGAATTTCGAGGTCCAAGTCCGGATCCTGGGAGCCTGATCGGTAGGGGGAGCGCACAGGGGAACCAGACACTGTCCGCCGGAGAGGCGCGCAGAGCGGCCGCGGCCCGTGCCTGCGGAAACAGCCGCCCCGTCCAAGGACCCAAGAGCGTTGCACAGATCCGCATCTGCCTCCGGAGCGTCCTGCACCGGCAGCCAGCACCGCGCGGAGCAGCCTCCACGGGCCACTTCTGGAGGACGAGATGCGATCAGAACCACGCAGCTCCGCCCCGGAGCCCAGCCTGCCCTGGACGCACCCACAGCGGCCAGGGAAAGCCTTGGCCACCGCAGGCTTCACAGCCGCATCAGGAAAAATGGAGAATGGCGCTTGAGCCACAGCGCCTCATCTGGCTCTTTTGTGCTTGGTTAGAGATGAGTCCCACAGACTTTCCTATCAGGGCTGGCTTTGAACTGTGATCCTCAGCTCTCAGCTCCTGAGGAGCTGTGGTTTTATCTTCTATTGTAACTTGCCGAGGCTGGAGCCTGCAGCTGGGCAGCCATGCACGCCATGCACGGAAGGAATCAGTGGGAAAGACAGAAGTCGCTCCATCCACTCCAAGCAGTGCAGGAAGGGCCTCGGGCGTCAGCCTCTCCACTGGGGACACAGAGGAAACCACACTGCCCAGCGCTGCTGGCCGTCCCTACGCGTGTCACAGGCCACACACAAGGGCCAAGGACAAGACCACCGCATGTGCTGAGCTGTGTCAGCAGCCGTTACAGGACAGGAGTCCCGTGAGAAGAGAACTTCCACTTCCATCATGAAAATCCAGCCAGGCAGGGTGGCTCACGCCTGTAATCCTACTCAAAAGAGCCCAAGATCAAGAGAAGCATGTTTGATGTGAACCTGGTCAAAAGTGCATGAGAGCCGGGCGCCGGTGGCTCACGCCTGTCATCCTAGCTACTCAGGAGACTAGACTTGAAGATGGGAGTTCAAAGCCAGCCTGGGCAGGAAAGTCCACGAGACTCTTCTCTCCAATAAAGCATTAGAAAACCAGAAGTGGCGCTGTGGCTCAAGTGGTAGAGCGCTCACCTTGAGCTGAAGAGCTGAGGGACAGCGCCCAGGCCCAGAGTTCAAGCCCCATGACCAAAAAAAAAAAAAAATGCATGAGACCCCGTGTCAACGGGCAGTGGTATGTGCCTGTCGGCCCAGCTAAAAACGCCAAGTATAAATAAGAGGACTGCAGTCCAGGCTGACCTGAGCACACAGCTAGATCCTATCTCAAAAATAAGCAAAGGAAAAAGGGCTGGGGCTGGAAGCATAGCTCAACTGAAAGACGCCTATCCAGCAGAAGAGGCTCTGGGTTCAAACCTAGTACCACACTCACACTCAAAACAGCAGTATGGCTACGCACTGGCTCCCACCTGTCATCCCAGCTACTCAGGCAACTGAGACCTGAGGACGATGGTTTGAAGCCAGCCCGGGCAGCAAAGTCCATGAGGCTATCTCCAATTAACTAGCAAAAAGCCAGAAGTGGAGGTGTGGCTCCAGTGGCAGAGCACTGGCCTTGAACACAAAAGTTCAGGAACAGGGCCCAGGCCCTGAGCTCTAGCCTAGGACTGACCCACAAACACACAAAGCACGGAGGAAACAGAAGTCAACCATTGTTACACTCCCAGGCCTCCGTGACTACCAACACACTACCTTGCCACCTCGTGACTCGAGCCAGCCAAACGCTCGGCCATCCTGCGAGGCCTCAAGGAGACCAGGACAAGCGGGGAAACCGAGCCTCCATCTCCGTCATCACTTCTGGGTACCACGCAGAGGCGGCAGCAGGAAGGCGGCGTGAGAGCCCATCCAACGGCCTGACCTGGGCGTCCGTGCTCCCCACAGATCCGACCACCTGATCGAGGCGTCCACCATCCCTACGGATCCCATACCGGATCTGGGAGTGTGTGTGTCTACTCCTCGCAACTGGGCAAACGCTAAGCACGCAAAGGCCGGCGGGCCGGCGCTCACCGGTGCAGAACTCCCTGCCGCCGCGGTGGGGCACAGTGATGCGGCGGTAGACGATGGGCTCGGCCTCCAGGATGTTCTCGTCGTGCCGGTACCGCGTGGGCCTCTCGCTCGGGACGCCCCGGGAGCGGGTGCCCCCCCGCCTCTCGTACGTGTCGATCTCCTCGAACACAGCCGCCTTGTCGAAGAGGGCCAGGTTCCCCTCGAAGTCGAAGTCCGTGTCCGGGATCTCGTCGATGTCGTCCCCGAAGCACTCATCGTCCTTGCTCTTCATCTGGCCATTCTTCAGGCCGCTTTTCTTTGGCGTGGCCTGGCTCGGGTGTCGGCTACTAGATGACCCTGGAGGAGGATCCCGTGGGTCAGTGCCAGATACAAGTGGGAAATGGGGACAGTGCAGTAATAATCACGGGAAGGGAAGCGGTTCTGAAACCTGCAAGTAGCAAAAACCAGCACAAACCCCGTAAGATAGCCCATGTCAGACATCGTCCAACCACCGCCAAGGAACACAGAATGGACAGCCCATGGCCCTGGCTGGGCACCATGGCTCATCCCTGTAATCCTCGCTGCTCAAGAGGATAAGACCTGGAGATCAGCTCAAAGCCAGCCTAGCCAGACAAGTCTGTGGCTCTTCTCCAACCAACTAGCAAAATGCTGAATGGGAGGCATGGCTCAGATGGTAGAATGTCAGCCTCAACTGGCAGTGTCAGCCATGAGCAATCAACTAAGGGAGAGGGAATGAGAGGCCCTGAGTTCAAGCCTCAATACCAGCACATAAGACAAAAAAACTACTGTTTCCTAGCAAGGGAGCATCTTCTCATCGTATGACGGAGCTCTCCAGATCCCTCTCTCTCTGTGGCTGCACAGATGATAGATTACACCACAGGAATGTGTGCGCACGCCTCAGCCTCCTGATGCACGTTTCCGCCTCACACTGGCACAGCCACCAGCACGTGCCTCTCACCACACTGCCCTGTTGAGGAAGCCAAGTTCTTGTTCTCACCCTAAGGAGCTTCTATACCCACAGATGGCAGAGTCCACGCCATTCACACCTCTCACCCACGTCTAGCCTGGTAGACCACAAGTCTCTGCTAAATTTGGAGATCCAAACAGATGCATCAAAACACAAGATGAGGGGCTGGGAAGGTGGCTCCGTGGTAGAGTGCTTGCCTTGCACGCATGAGGCCCTGGGTTCGATTCCTCAGCACCACATAAGCTGAAAAAGCTGGAAGTGGCGCTGTGGCTCAAGTGGTAGAGCTCTAGCCTTGAGCTGAAGAGCTGAGGGACAGCGCCCAGGCCCAGAGTTCAGGCCCCAGACCAACAACAACAACAAAAAAAGAAATGCAAGCCGGGCGCTGGTGGCTCAAGCCTGTAATCCTAGCTACTCAGGAGGCTGAGATCTGAGGATCGCGGTTCAAAGCCAGCCCGGGCAGGAGAGACCGTGAGACTCCTATCTCCAGTAAACCACCAGAAAACCGGAAGTGGCGCTGTAGCTCAAGTAGTAGAGCGCTCGCCTTGAGCTGAAGAGCTGAGGGACAGCGCCCAGGCCCAGAGTTCAAGCCCCAGGACCGACCAAAAAAAAAAAAAAAGAAATGCCAGCAAGCTGCAAAGCACTGGTGCTCACGCCTGTAATCCTAGCTACTCAGGAGGCTGAGATCTGAGGATCACAGTCCAAAGCCAGCCCAGGCAGAAAAGTCCGTGAGACACTTATCTCCAATAAACCACTGGAAAACCGGAAGTGATGGTGTGGCTCAAGCGGTAGAGCGCTCGCCTTGAGCTGAAGAACAGTGCCCAAGCCCAGAGTTCAAGCCCCATGATCACCAAAAAAAAAAAAAAAAAAAGGGCAGCAGGAAAAAGTGGAGAACAACAATGCAGGTGGACACTGGGTGCCAATGGCTCACGCCTGAGATCCTAGCTACTCAGGAGACTGAGATCTGAGTATCGTGGTTCAAAGCCAGTCCAGGCAGGAACGTCCATGACACTCTCATCTAATTAGCCACCAGAAAACCAGAAGTGGTGCTGTGGCTCAGGTGGTAGAGGGCTCACCTTGAGTAGAAGAGCTCAGGGACAATGCCTAAGGCTCAGAATTCAAGCCCCACAACCAACAAAAAAAGAATGCAGGTGGGCATTGGGGGCTAGGGTTTCAAGGCAGGTGCAGACATGCACAACACCAACACACATGAAGTAAACACAACTACATGGGGAGACGAAACACATAACCACTGCACACCACCACACACAGAAGAAAGGGCCGGGGGAGAAGCGATGGCTCACAGGAAACCCAGCTCCACAGGCCAGGAGACAGATCCACAAGGACGCTCACGTCTGTCAGTGCAGCTACTTGGGGGGGCTGAGATCTGAGGGTGATGGTTCAAAGCCAGCCTGGGCAAGAAAGTCCATGAGACTCTTACCTCCAATAAGCTAGCAAAAACAAAAAGCCAAAAACGGAGCTGTGGCTCAAGTGGTGGAGCACTAGCCTTGAGCAAGAGTAGCTCAGAACAAGCACACAGGCCCTGAGTTCAAAAAAAAATACAAATAAAGAAAGATCCCAGAATAAAGAGCCGAGCACCGCAGGCCCTGAGTTCCAGCTCTCCCCGGTCTCCTGGCATCCGCCCTGCCACACCGCCACCCGCTCTGGCAAGCTCACAGCTGTCAGCAGCAGGCCGATGGCAATGTGCAGCATTGATTGCTGGAGAGAACGTGAATGCACGGTGCACGACTCCTGAAGGTGGAAGAAGAAAAGCGGGTAGCTGGTGACCCCTTTGCGCCACGCCATACAAACCAACGGCTACTGGGGGGAAAGAGGGAAAAAAAACACTCCTTGGGAATTTCAAGTGCAGAGAAAAGCAGAGGAGACATGCACCAGGGCAGGGAAAGATGGAGGACAGCAGGCTAGACGCTCGGCTGTGCTGATCCACTTGCGCGCGCGCACACGCACACACGCACACACGCACACACACACACACACACACACACACACACACACACACACACACACACACACAGAGCCGAGTGAGCAAGCTGGCTGTGGCCGTTGGAGGGCGAAGGCTCTGGGGATGACAGGGAGCCAGCATGCAGCCACGGGAGGGGGCTAGGCGCATCCTGTGCCACTTTCCTGCCAGCCTCTGGCACAGAGGCTTTGGAGCAGGCAGGGCGTCTGGTACTAGCCCATCGTTGTGCAACCCTCATGTGCTTATTCATGGATTTGCCACACGTGTTGTAACGGAGACCTCCGTCCTGCACTCTGCACGTGACAGGGCGCACTGCACACGTGTCCCACACAGTCTAGCGACCCCAGGCCTCCAGAAGGCACCTGTGCACACAACACTCGGTGATGACCTCCCACGTTCCAGGAAGCACACCCAGAGAAACAAAGTCAGGAGGGTCACGGAACCTGGGCAGAACAGGACATGACATTAGATGGGGGATCCCCAAAGCCAGGCACGCTCACTCTGCCCCTTCCGCCATGAAGGCAGAACTGCACCCCATTCCATCTCCTGGAGGAGCAGCGGCAGGGAAATCCGTGGAATCCGGACAAGGTCGTGGACAGAACCCTGCCTACATCCAAATGTGTTCCACGCCAGCCTCCACCTTCCATGTTCTTCAGGGCAGTTCACAGCAACTCCAGTCACACATCTTAGTCACGTGATTCCAGAGGGATCACCTCTCAGCTGCCCCTGACACCAGGTTTAGCTCTGACACAGGATTTAAGCCTGCTTTGCCCTTATACAGAGATCTATGCTCTTTTCTGACTTTTTGGTGGCACCAAGGGTTTGACCACACCTCCAGTCCTCTTCTGCACTTGGTATTTAAAACAGGGTCTTGCTTTCTGCACAGGTCTTTGCCTGGATTACGATCCTCCTATTTTATACTTCTAGCTGCAGCTGGGATGGCAAAGCATGTGCCACCATGCCCAGCTTCTTCCATTGAGATGGGAGTCTCAAAAACATTTTTGCCTAGACCTAAAATTGCAATCCTTTTGATCTCAGCCTCCTGTATAGCAGCGGGATTATCTGTGTGAGCCACCGTGCCCAAGTCACAAACCCATAGTCTTTGTTAGTCCTGGGTTTTGAACACAAGACACTGTTCTTTTACTCTACCACTTGAGCCACCACACCACACCACTTGCGGCTTTTTCTGTTTATGTGGTACTGACAAGCCGTGGCTTCATGCATGCTAAGCAAGCACTCTACCACTAAGCCCCATCCCCAGGCCCAACAGTCTTTTTGTTGGGGGAATGCCTCTGCTTTTTCACCCAAGGCTAGCACTCTACCACTTGAGCCACAGCTGAACTTCCAGCTTTTGGGTAGTTAACTGGAGATAAGAGTCTCAGATGTTCCTACCTGGGCTGGCTTTGAACCGTGATCCTCAGATCTCAAGTCTCCTGCGCGGCTAGGATTATAACTGAGAGCCACCAGTGTCTGGTAGGTGGTACTGGGTTTTGAACTTGGAGCCTTGTGCTTACTGGCAGGTGCTCTACCATCTGAGCCATGCCGAGCTAGCAATAACTTTTTCCTTTCCCACTGGTTGTTCATTAGGTGCTATCAGTTCTGGAAGGGGCAGATTTCACAGTTACCTTTCCATATATTTACAATGTATTTTAAGGAATGTCACCTCCTCTATCACTCTCCCCGCTCCCTTCGACTAAGAATTTTTTCAAAGTACAATCCTATTCATTTAAGGAGCACAACGGCAAGTCTGTCCTGCTTCACAACGAGCACACAACCAAACACGTCACAAAGATCACCAAGCCTAGCCAGTCCTGGCGGACCCCTGATGACTCCAAGTGGGCACACAGCAATCAGCAAGCCATGACGCTTGCGTGGGGACAGCACTGCACACCACCTCGCGGCCTACTGAAGAAGGAAACACAGGACACTGGAACGAAAGCCAATTCCTCCCCAGGCACTTGCTCTCTGAAGGATGGGGTCAGGTAACAGGCAAAAGACACTCAAGAGTTCCCTGAAGAACTCCAGTGCACGCTCAGCCACACAGCACTGCCATCACTGGTTAGACTTAAACAACACTATAGTGGGTGATGAGTCAATGAACATTAGATAGCTGACATTTCCTGAAGAAGAGAGGGGAGGGTCCGGGCATGCTCGTGTGACCTCCACCAGCCCAGCATCCCGAGGATGCCCTGGAGTGACTGAACCATGCTATCTTTGTACCCTTTTACTTTCTTTCTTTTCTTTTTGGCAGTCCTGGGGCTTGAACTCTGGGCCTAGGCACTGTCCCCGAGCTGCTTCTGCTCAAGTCTAGTGCTCTATCACTTATGTCACAGCGCCACTTCCGGCCTTTTCTGAGTTTATTGGAGATCATAGTTTCCTGGACTTTCCTGCCCGGGCTGCCTTCAAACTGCAAACTTCAGTCCTTAAATCTCAGCCTCCTGAATCGCTAGGATGACAGACATGAGCCACCAGAGCCGGGCTCCTTGTCCCCTTTTTATAACTCGAGTGCTAGTGGTAAAGGATGTGCAGCCCGAGAGGTGAGATGAAGCAAGGAGTGGCTCACACGAGTTGTGCCGGCGGCGGAAGCTCTTGGCCTGGCTCAGGGACTCCACGTGCCGGTCCACGTAGCTCCTGGAGCACTGCTGCTGAGGGGAGATGGCCACGTCCTGGCTCCTGGCGTCTGTCCTCTTTGGGATGTTCTGGGGCGCACTGCTGGAAGAGGCTGGCTTCTTGACCAACTTGCCTGGGCCATTCTGGCTGATACCCATTTGGTATCCAACACCAGAGAGGCCTGATTCTGTCTGATGAAGGTCCCCAAAATGGTGGTTGTCTCCAGGACCCGGTATCTCCAAGATTTTTAGTTCTGTAATGTCACCTGCCCTAAAATACACAAAAGAGTCCAAGTCTCCAAATAGTGATAAAAAGAAAGCCATTGGGGCCAGTGACACACGGCCGCCCCTTAGCAGAACAGCATTCCAGCGATACCACAAGCAGAACTCAGAGAAAGTGGCAGAGCTCGTAGAGACACCAACATTCAATTCGTACAGCATGGACTTGTTTTCAAGAGTCTGCTGTTCATTATGATCACATTATCCCCTCAGACTTCCAGAATGTGTTCTGGCTTCTGCTTTTTGTTGTTGTTGCTGCACCAGTCCTGGGGCTTGAATTCAACGCCTGGACACTGTCCCTGAGCTTCTTTTGCTCAAGGCTAGCGCTCTACCACTTGAGCCACAGCGTCACATCTGGCTTTTTTGTTTATGTGGTACTGACGAGTGGAACCCAGGGGCTCATGCATGCTAGGCAATCACATCACTGAGCTACACTCCCAGCCTGGCTTCTGCTTTATTCATTTATTCTCTCAGTCGCTCAGTCAACAAACTGTGAACATACTATGTCTGCCTAGGCCAGGACAGCCATGCAAAGAGACAAAAGGCTGCCGGTGCCCACAGACCCATAAACACGAATACACAATCTGTGCAATGGCAGAAGGATGCACAGGTCACTAGAAAATCTAAAAGCAGCCAGGCACCGGTAGCTCACACCTGTCATCCTAGCTACTCAGGAGGCTGAGATCTGAGGATCACAATTCAAAGCCAGCCCATTCAGGAAAGGCCATGAGACTCTTATCTCCAATAAACCACTAGAAAATCGGAAGTGGCACTGTGGCTCAAATGGTAGAGCACTAGCCTTGAGCTGAAGAGCCGAAGGACAGCCCAGGCCCAGAGCTCAAGCCTCATGACCGACAAAAAAATAAAAAAAGAAAAGAAAAGAAAACTTAAAAGCAGTGGGGCATGGGTAGCTCAGGAAGCTGTGACCTGAAGACTGGTTTGAAGCCAACTCCCAGGCAGAAATAGTCTATGAGTTGTTGTTGCTGTTTTTATTTTTTGGGGGGTGGGGGTCATGGGGCTCAAACTCAGGGCCTGGGTGCTAGCTAGGATTACCGGCATGAGCCACCAGCACCCAGCAATCCCTGAGTTTTTTTGCTGAAGGCTAGCACTCTACCATTTTGAGCCTCAGCTCCATTTCCAATTTCTGGTGGTTAATTGGAGATAAGAGTCCCATGGCCTTTCCTGCCTGGGCTGGCTTTGAACCGTGATCCTCAAATTGCAGCCTTCTGAGTAGCTAGGATTACAGGCATGAGGCACCACGAGACTCTTATCTCTCAATTAGCCACCAAAAATGCTGCAAGTAGAGCTGTGCCTCAACTGATAAGAGCACTAGCCTTCAGCAAAAAAAATTCAGGGATTGCTGGGTGCAGGTGGCTGATGTCCATAATCCTAGCTACTCAGGAGGCTGAGGCTGAGGATCTAAGGATCACAGTTCAAAGCCAACTAGGGTATGAAAGTTTAGGAGATTTATCTTCAATAAATTACCAAAAAAGCCAGACTGTGACTCAAGTGGTAAAGCACTACTCTTAAGCCTAGGCCCTGAGTTCAAACTCCAGGAACAGCAAAAAAAAAAAAAAAAAAAGAGTTTATGGACAGCGACCAAGTCATGATTTTAAATCCAGTACTGGCATGCAAGCATGCTTATGTATACACACTACACACACACACACACACACACACACACACAGAGGCACACATAAACTATTATACCATTCTACAAAGAGACACTTTTATGCTGGGGAAGAAAATTGATAAGGATGTTTGATGTGAGAAAAATAATGCAAAATTTAGACTAAAAAACAAAAACTCTGAAAGCATGAAACCAAGGTTATGCTGAATTTAAATAACATCAGGTTGGGCTGGGAAGGTGGCTCAGTGGTAGAGCGCTTGCCTTGCATGCCTGAGGCCCTGGGTTCGATTCCTCAGCACCACATAAGCAAAAAGAAAAAAGCCGGAAGTGGTGCTGTGGCTCAAGTGGTAGAGCACTAGCCTTGAGCTGAAGAGCTGAGGGACAGCGCCCAGGCCCAGAGTTCAGGTCCCACAACTGGACCCCCCCCCAAAAAAATAAACAAATAAATAGTAACATAAGGTTGCGTGCCAGTCGGAGACGAGAGTGAGGAAATAAAAACAAGGGTGAGGACATCCTGGCTGCTCAGCTGAGCTGGTGATCAGCTGGTGTCCGTATCAGGTGTCCATGGGAGACAGCAGCTGAGCTCACACCCGTGCCTCCAGAGCTCACTGTTAACTACTCCTGCCAACCAGCCCCACCACACAGCCCCGGAGCGGAGGTCAGGCTGCCCCCACCACATGCAGGGACTCCATGGGGACTCACCTGAAGGTGACTTCTGGCACCAGACACTTTACTCCATTGTGGAAAGGCCTGGTGAGGGAAATGGTCTGGCTGACCTGGTCCACCGCTGACACTCTGCCCTGATAGACGCCCAAGCTGTCCCCGCAGTTGATGGACACGATACTGCCCAGCCAGTCTGTAGCCATGGTTCCCATGAGACCACGGAGAGGACAAGGAACCACTCCTGACACCTGGGGGAACAGACGCATCCCTGGTTAAATGAACAAATATTACATCAGGCTCTGGACCATCAGCTCCTGCACATCATTAGGTTATGAAGCATAAAAACCACAAAAATTTTTGGCAAGAATATGTACATTAATATTGCTAAACATAGCTGGGCGCCGGTGGCTCAATCCTAGCTACAAAGGAGGCTAAGATCTGAGGATCGAGGTTCAAAGCCAGCCCGGGCAGGAAAGTCCGTGAGACTCTTATCTCCAATAAACCACTAGAAAACCGGAAATGGCGTTGTGGCTCAAGTGGTAGAGCGCTCGCCTTGAGCTGAAGAGCGCAAGGACAGCGCCCAGGCCCAGAGTTCAAGCCACACGACCACCACCACCAACAACAAATATATATATATATATATATATATATATGTTACTAAATGTGTTCAAAAATGCAGTAATTGCTTTAAAGTGCATGCACGAAAGATAATATTGACCAGACAGCATTTCACTGAGACTATACTGAGACTATAACCCACTTGTATTTCAAAAAAACCTATTATCAAAATACTTTCGGGCTGGGAAGGTGGCTCAGTGGTAGAGCGCTTGCCTTGCATGCCTGAGGCCCTGGGTTCGATTCCTCAGCACCACATTAGCAAAAAGAAAAAAGCCAGAAGTGGCATTGTGGTTCAAGTGGTAGAACGCTAGCCTTGAGCTGAGGGACAGCACCCAGGCCCAGAGTTCAGGCCCCACGACCGGACCCCCCCCTCCAAAAAAAAAAACTTTCAAAGAGCCAGTGGCTATATATCTTAGCTACTCAAAAGGCTGAAATCTGAGAGTCATAGTTCGAAGCCAGCTGGACAGATAAAACTACAAGACTCAGCTGCTGGTTGCTAGTAACTCACACCTGTCATCCTAGCTACTTAGAAGGCTGAGATCTGAGGACAACGGTTTGAAGCTAGCCCAGGAAAGCCTATGAGGCTTCTTATCTCCACATCAAAAACCTCGGCAGAGGAGCTGTGGCTCAAGTGGTAGAGCACCAGCATTGACCAACAAAACTTAATGACAGCACTCTGGCCCTGACTTCAAGCCCCAAGACCAGCACCAAAAATAAATAAATGCTAAAGAATCACAACCATACACAGTATATTTTCTGTCTACAACAGAAACTTAGCTGACAGTAAGATGTTTATAAAATATTCTCAAATATCTGGATAAAATTAAGCAAGATATAATTGCTAACCATGCCTCTCTGGTGGCTGGGATTCAAATACAGGGTGTTGTGCAAGCTAGACATGCACTCTACAAGTAAGCTAAAACCCATATGCAGCAAGACATATGTAGTGGGGCTTGAACTCTGGGCCTGGACGCTGTCCCTCAGCTCTTCAGCTCAAGGCTAGCACACTACTACTCGAGCAACAGAGCCACTTCTGGTTTTCTGGTGGTTAACTGGAGATAAGAGAGTCTCAAGGACATTCCTGCCCAGTCTGGCTTTGAACTGCGATCCTCAGATCTCAGCCTCCTGAGTAACTAGGATCACAGACATGAGCCACTGGCACCTGGCTCCTTTAGCTTTTTTACTCAAGGCTGGAACTCTGCCACTTGAAGCACAACTCCATGTAAGGCTCTTCAGTGGTAAACTGGAGATACGTCTCATAGATATTTCATGCCCATGATGACTTCATACTGTAATCCTCAGATCTCAGCATTCTGAGTAGTTGGGACTACAGGCATGAGCACCAGCACCTGGTAACAGCCACTCAAACAAACTGGCATATACATGCCATGGGAGAAAAAAAGTACAAAGACCTTCCAATGATCAGACTGTATATAATGACATTTGTGTAATTTTCTTGTAATTTCTTAAAACAGTATGTGAGGGGGCTGAGAATGTGGCTTACTGGCAGAGTGCTTGCCTAGCATGCATGAAACCCTGGGTTCGATTCCTCAGTACCACATAAACAGAAAAAGGCAGAAGTGGTACTGTAGCTGAAGTAGTAGAGTGCTGGCCTTGAACAAAAGAAGCTCAGAGGCAGGGACTGGGTAGGTGGCTCAGTGGTAAAGTGCTTGCCTTGCATGCATGAGGCCCTGGGTTCGATTCCTCAGCACCACATAAGCAAAAGGAAAAAAGCCGGAAGTGGCGCTGTGGCTCAAGCGGTACAGCGCTAGCCTCGAGCTGAAGAGCTTAGGGACAGCACCCAGGCCTAGAGTTCGGCCCCCTGACCGGACCCCCCCCCAAAAAAAAAAAACACAAAAAAAAAGCTCAGAGACAGTGCCCAGACCCTGAATTCAAGCCCTAGGACTGGAGGGACAAAAACAAAACAAAAACTGCATATGATCTACAACTAACCTGAAATAAAAGTTTAAAACAAGTATGCCAAACAGGATGTTGGTGGCTAATACTTGTAATCCTACCAACTCAAGAGACTGAGATGTGAGGATTGTGCTTCAAAGCCAGCCTGGACAGGAAACCACCAAAAGCTGGGAGAGTTCAGCTGCGGCTCAAGTGGTGGTAACATTAGCATTGAGAAAAAAAAAAAAAAAACTTGGGGGATAGGGCCAGGCCCGAAGTGAAGCCCCAGGTTCATTACCAATAAAGAAAGAAAAGTGGAAGATATGAGAGGGTTTCATTAGTAGACACTACTGTCTACAGGGTTTCATTAGTAGACACTACTGTCTACAAACCATGGTGAGAAGCCACCAGTGCCTGGTTGTGCGTCTGTGTGCACACACACACACATGCACGGGCCAGTCCTAGAACTGGTGCTCTACCGCTTGGGCCACAGCTCTACTTCCTCCATTTCTAATAAGTAGCCAATCATCAATACCTCACAAAAGGTTCTGACGATAAGAACTAGCAGACCTGCAAGGGCGCCGAGATGCATCAAAGGGAAGTGGCCGGGATTCCACAGCTGTGCCCTGGCAGGTGATTTCTCGGCCACCTCCCCGTCTCCCCCTCACACCCCCCAGCTCACCCCCCTCCTCCGGCTTCGTGGCTGTCCGCGCTCTTCCCAGACACTGTGCAGCACTCAAAAGGGAAAGGCAAACGGAGAGCCGGGCGCCGGTGCTCACACCTGTAATCCTAGCTACCTGAGATCTGAGGATTGAGACTCGATGACAGCCGGGGCAGGAAAACCCGCCAGACTCCCCTTTCCAATTAGCCAAAAGGGGGCCGGGGGTGGGGAGGGGGGAAGGCTGGAAATGGAGCTGCGGCCCAAGTGGTGCGCTAGAGCAGCTCCGAACGAAAACGCTCAGCCAGACAGCCACGCCCGGAGCCCAAGTCCCAGCAGAGGCACCAAAACGAGGGGAAACTGAGGCAGGGAACGACGTCAGTCCCCCCCCCCCCACACTGGTGTGCGAGGACCCGGGGGCCGCCTCCGCTCCCAGGGCCCCGGGACCCCGGCTCAGTACCCCAATACCAGGTCCCCGGTAGCAGGCCCGGGACCCGCGCGCTCCGAGGCCCTCGGCTGCCGTCAAGGCCCACCAGGCCCGGCCTCCCCAGACGGCGGGACGCGAGCCCGCGGGAGCCCGGAAGCCCGCAGGGCCGCCGCCGCCGCGCTGGGCGTCCCGCTCGGCGCCGCCCGGCCCGGGGCTCCCCCGCGCACCTCACCGAGCCGACCTTGACGCGCGAAAACACCCACGGAGGGGCTCTGCGCACCTCGCCCACGGACGACGCCGCCGGAAACGCCCCCGCGCCCCACGCCGGCGCGCTCGCCGTCTGAGGTCACTTCCGCTGCGATTCGAGGGGCGGGGCGCGTGAGCGGAGGCAGGAGGGGGCGTGGCTACGTGGGAGGGGGCGAGGCTCAAAGGAGAGCGGGGCGGGGGAGTGGGCGGGACACGCTCTTGTGGGCGGGGCCGTGACTGGGCGGGGCGCGTCGTGGGGGCGGAGCTTTCCCAGGGGCGGGGCGCAAGATGGGGCGGAGGTGGGCGGGGCACGCGGGACATTTGAGCGGCGGGAAGCAGGCGGCGAGGGCGGGGCGCCGGAAGCCCACCAAGACCGCTCGGGTCCCTAGGTCCTGAGCTTGCTCCACGGAGTCTGCGCAGTAGGTCGCGTCCCATCTGGCATCCTGTCCTGCAAATCCGGGACAAACCTGCTTTCTGAGCCTGAGGACGTGACTCACGCCTGTCATCCCAGCTACTCGGGAGGCTGAGGTCTGAGGATCGCAGTTCAAAGCCAACTCGGGCAGGAAAGTCCCTGAGATGCTTAGTTCCCAGGAACCAGCAAAAAGCCAGCAGTGGAGCTTGTGGTTCAAGTGGTAGAGCACCAAGCCATGAGCAAAAAGAGCTCAGGGACAGCCCCAGGTCCTGAGAGCCACCCGCCAGTCATTTTCCTTTGCGTCTTTATATGCCTTCATAGTTAAAGTACTTGTTTGCTTGTTGGGTGGTTGGTGCCACTACTGGGGTTTGAACTCAGGGCCTGGTTTAGTCTATCCTGAACCCTAAGAGCTACTGCGCAGCAGCCACTGGTGGAATCAGACTCGCAGTTCAACTAAAGAAGAAGAGGTTCATTCTGGTTCAGGGGATGCTACCTCAATCAGTTCCATGTTGGCATCTGTGAAAGCTGGAATAAAATGGATGCATGTCCTCAGCCCTAACCTGATCCTTGCTCAGAAAGTGAACGGAGGAAGATCTGTGGTCACAGCGAATCAGACCATGTATGTCCAGATCCGAGGCTGTGATTCCCTTCCTCTCTGCGGACAGCAGTGTGGGAAGAAGGGGCAGCAGTGAAGTGACATTACCTGTCCTCCAGACTCACTGCCAGACAGCAAGGACCTCACCTCTTGATTGACAGCTCTCTTCCTTCTCCCCACTAGGAAGCCCCGCCCAAGACTGGACCACCCCCCTTCTGCCCCCAGGTACACACACAGATGAGCAATGAGTTCATTTAAGATTCAAAAACTCCAGTTTTTGCAGTTTCCAGATAATGTTTTTATTTAGCTTATGTAAAAGTTTCCTGCACATTTTTGTTTTCTTTTCCTTTTCTCTGTGTGTGTGTGTGTGTGTGTGTGTGTGTGTGTGTGTGTGTGTGCGTGCGTGCCAGTCCTGGGCTTGAACTCAGAACCTAGATGCTGTCCCTGACCTTTCCTGCAAATGCCTTCATGATTGGGTTAGAGTTCACTATTGCACTAAGGAAGTGGTTTCAAAGCACTTAGGCAGGATATATGAAAGCATGCAAACACACTACAGATCAGAATTCTAAAAGCCAACCCTGTGTACAAACTTTTTTTTTAAGTATAGACATTTTAGCTGGGTGCCAATGGCTCACACTTATAATCCTAGTTACTTAAGAGGTTGAGATCTGAGAATCACAATTCAAAGCCAGCCCAGGCAAGAAAGCCCACCAGACTCTTATCTCCAATGAACCACCGGAAAACTGGAAGTGGTGCTGTGGCACAAAGTGATAGAACTCTAGCCTTGAGTGAAAAAGCTCAGAGACAGCTCCCAGGCCCTGAGTTCAAGCCCCCATGACTGACAAAATTTGTTTTTAAAAATGCTATCCTTGTGGGGGTGCAGGGGGAGACTGGGAAGGGATGGGAAAGGGAAACAAAGGAGGAGGCTACAATGCTTGATAGAAATGTACTCATTATCTTGCCCATGTAATTGTAACCCCTCTGTACAGTATTTTCACAATAAAAAAAATAAAATAAAATAAAATGCCATCCTTGAGTGAAAAAGTTAAGGGGGAACACCCAGGCCCAGTGTTCAAGGCCCAAGACAGGTACACAAAATAAAATGAAGACTTTTTTTGTGGGGGGGGGGGGTCCGGTCATGGGGCCTGAACTCTGGGCCTGAGCGCTGTCCCTCAGCTCTTCAGCTCAAGGCTAGCCCTCTACCACTTGAGCCACAGCGCCACTTCTGGCTTTTTTTCTTTTTTCTTATATGGTGCTGAGGAATCGAACCCAGGGCCTCAGACATGCAAGGCAAGTGCTCTACCACTGAGCCACCTTCCCAGCCCCAAAACGAAAACATTTTATATGGACATTTTATATAGATTACTTCATTCCAGCCTTGGACCTAGTGCCTCTTCTCACCTCTTCCTGAGCAAGAACCGGGGGACTTACAAAAGTCAGGACATAGCCCTGTTGGGTCTGTCTGGAATTAGGGCAGGGAGAGGTGGTCCCCCATACCCAAACATGGCATCCCAGACCCGTGGGGCCAGGGACTCAGCCTTCTAGAAGTGACATGGTAAGGCCTCCTCAGTGCCAGTATCCTGGGCTGTCTCTTCCTTTGGAGCCTGCCAGCTCATGCACTACTCCAGAAGTTTCTGTCCGTTTCAGGGAGCAGGGAGGAATGTCTCCGCTCTGTTCACTATCTGTGCTCAGCTTGCAGAAGGTTTAGTCAGAAGAGAAGCCAGATCTAGGCTCTCCGTGTGTGTCAGTTTCAGGCTGAAGTTAAACCAGTCTGAACCAGTCTCTTGGGCTTCCCAGACTGGCCAGGTGGACAAGAGTCTAGGCATCGGGGCTCCCGGACCCAGAAGAGCGCAGCTGTATTTGGAAATGCTCGCAGCGACGATGTTTCATGGTCAGCCCATAGATGGGGGTCATGTCTACCTTCTTCCCAGGTGACACGCTGAATTCCACCTGCTGGACCAGGATGGCCAGAAAGAGGAAGACCTCCCAGCGGCCGATGACCTCCCCAAGGCATTTCCGTTTGCCCAGGCCAAAGAGGATGACCTTGTCACTCAGGACCTTGTCCACAGTGCCATCAGGGGAAAGGAACCGCTCAGGCCTGAACTCAGACGGATCACCCCACAGCTTCCTGTAACCAGAGGGAGGAGGCAGGTGAATAATAACAGCATTGGGAGTTCAAGAGGATCGAGTAAACCAACTAGATGCTGGTGGCTCACGCCTGTCATCCCAGCTCCTCAGGAGCCTGAGATCTGAGGATCAAGGTTCAAAGCCAGTCCATGCATGCCTAGCATGCATGAAGCCCTGGGTTCAATTCTTCAGTACCACATAAACAGAAAAAGCTAGAAATTGTGCTGTGGCTCAAGTGGGAGAGTGCTAGCCTTGAGCAAAAGAAACTCAAGGACAGTGCTCAGACCCTGAGTTCAAGCCCCAGGACTGGCAAAAAAAAAAAAAAAAAAAAAAAAAAATTCATGCCAGGTACTAGTGGCTCATGTCTATCATCTTAGCAACTCAGGAGGCTGAGATCTGAGTTCAAACCCAGCCAGCCTGGGCAGAAAGTACATGAAGTGGAACTATAACTCAAGTAGTAACATATTAGCCTTGAGCAGAAAATCTTAGGGACAGCACCCAGGCTCTGAGTTCAAGTCTCAGGACCAGCACCAAGAAAAAGAAAAAAAAAAAAAAAATAGGTTAATCTCCCTTTCCCTCGAGGACAGAAAGTTCTGAAACCCAAGGAAGGTAGGCCCAGCTCCAGAAGTTTCCATTACCCCTTTCAACTTACTGGTCGTGGTTGATCTGCCATTGGTTCACAAAGATGCATCGCCCCTTGGGGATGTAAAAGCCATTCAGACTTGTGTGTTTTGTGGTGCTAAGAAGAAAGGAAGCTCAGTCAGGCTGCTGGTCACAGAGGAATCTCCTTGCTTCCTTCTGCCAGCCCTGGTGGCATGTGTGGGTTAGAGTGAGGTGCCACCCACCCACTCATGCCGAGACTACAGGAGGTCTCACCTGTGGGGGATGGTGAAGGGGACGAAGGAGCTGTGTCTGAACGTCTCCAGGATGAAGGCCTCCAGGTAGGGCAGCTGGGGTCGGTCAGAGAGCCGGGGACGCCGCTCCCTGCCGACCACTGCGTCTGCAAATCACAAAGCCCCAAATGGACTCAACAGGGCTGCCCTGACTTCCCGAAGACCCCTGCCTAGGGCACTGAATACGGCCACCACCTACCCAGCTCCTTCTGGATCTTTCTCTGGATCCCTGGGTTCTTCACCAAGTACATGAGGCACCAGGAGATGGCAGTTGTGATAGTGTCAAATCCTAGGCCAGAAGAAAAGTAAATAAATAATAAAGGAGAAGTCGCACAGGTGCCAAAGGGCAGAAGGTTGAGGCGCCGGAGGGGCACAGGGAGCAAGCACAAACCTGCTCCAAAGAGGTCCACCACAATGGCGATTATTTTCTCGTCTGACAGTTGAATATTGGCATTCTCATCCAGCTTCTTATCCTGACAGTGCTCGATGAGGCTGTCTGTGATGTCCCGGATATGGCCCTGGAAAAAGTAGGGTGAGGGACATAGCGCTGAGCCAGACCCCAAAGCCACGCAGCCACCTCTCCTCCCCTGCCCAAGCCTGGCCCCTCACTATTTGTTTAAGAAGTGAGCACCTGTGGGGGCCTGCCATCCCAGCTACTCAGGGGGCGGAGAGCTATGGATCACAGTTCAAAGCCAGCCCAGGGAGGAAAAGTCCCCGCAAGACTCTGATCACCAATGAACCGCTAGAAAATGGGGAGTGGCATTGTGGTTCAAGTGGTAAAGCACCAACCTTGAGCAAAAAGAGCTCAGGGACAGCGCCCCAGCCCTGAGTTCAAGTCCCACGACTGACCAAAACAAAATATGAGGCTCTCCCTCCACTACTGATTTCAAGCTTGTTTCTGGGAATCTGGCTCTCCTGCATGCTGCCAGTCTCTACCTTCTGGAATGTTCTATAGTGTTCCTGGACCAGGGTTTGCATGAAGACGTAGAACTTCTTATTCAGCTCCTTGAAGACCCTGAGGGTGCGGCTGGG